TTATGCATTTCTACCATTTTATTAGTTTTTTTTTTAAATATGCCAATATATTTTTGATTCATTTTTATTAAGTTTTAGTAATTTTAGTAATCAAGTTGAGCTACTAAAATGAAAATGAGAAATGTTCCCTGGCCTTGGCAATGTCACACCCATGGACTGTCGGTGTGTGTTTTTCTCCCCATGTGCTCCCCGTGACCCAGTTTCTCCCTTGTTTGATTGTGTTCATTTGGTTCAGGTGTGTTGTGTTAATTGGCCTCGTTTCCCCATGTATTTAAGCCCTAGTCTGTGCTGTCTATGTTTGTCGAGTCTCAAACGTCATGTTCGTGTGTTACAGCCATTCCTAGAGTGGATTACCCCCTTGTTTTGGATTTATTAAAGACTGTTTCTCTGATCCACGTCTCCGTCGTTCTCTCTGACACAGTGTGACAGAAGACACGACCGACAAAAAAGTAATATTGGCGTGTTTTCCCCCCATTTTGTTTCCGTGTTTCGTTCAGTGCCACAGCAGAGCCAGACCCAGATTAAGGAGGCTCGCAAATGCCCACCACCCTCCTGCTCCTGCCTCCTCCACCGCTGTCGTCTGGCAGACCCTCTGCTCACCCTCAGCCCACCATCTGTTCAGTGTGAGCACCGCAGGTCTGCCAGTCTCCATCGTCGGTGTGACTGGAGAATCCCTGGCCTCCACCTCCAGCCTCTGAGTCCCAGACTCCGCCTTGGCCCATCGACCCAGCAGCTCCACCATGGCTCCTAGCTCCCTCCTCTCTGCCGTGACCCGTCAGTCCACTGGCGCCGCTGGGCTCCCTCGTCCCTCCGGCTCCGCCTTGGTCTGTCATCGTCCATCCGTCGCCTCGGGACTGTATTCCTCCAGCTCCGCCTCGTTCCTCTAGCTCCATTAGGCTCCTCCTTCTCGTCAGCTCCACCTTGGTCCTCTGTCCCTCCGGCTCCACCGCGGCCTTTCCTATGCCCGCCTTCGCCTCGGTCGCCTGAGCTATCTGCTCCGCCTTGGCCCTCCGGATCCTCCCTGTCGCCCTGGCTCATTGGCTCTCCGTCTTCGCCTCGGGCTCCTCCACCACCTGCTCCGCCACCGTCGGTCAGCCCCCTGGAGTCGTCAGCTCTTCCTTCACCATGGCTCCTCCCTCCGTCGGCTCCACCGTGGGTCACCTTCATGGCTGTGGCCTGGGTCCCACCTGGCTCCGCCTGCTCCAAGTCCCTCCTGTCTCCATCTGGTCCTCCCTGGCTCTTCCCTGGCTCCTCCTCCTGTCGGCTCCACCTTGGACTCTGTCTGCCGGCCCCCTCCCGGGTGCCCGTCCTCCTCCTGAGCCTCCTCCCATGTTCCCACCCGTCCCTCCCTATGTTGTTTCTACGGCGCAAGGACGCACCTTCTGGGAGGGGGGCGATATATCACGCTCATGGACTGTCTGTGTGTGTTTTTCTCCCCACGTGCTCCCCGTGACCCAGTTTCTCCCTTGTTTGATTGTGTTCATTTGGTTCAGGTGTGTCGTGTTAATTGGTCTCGTTTCCCCATGTATTTAAGCCCTAGTATGTGCAGTCTATGTTTGTCGGGTCTCAAACCGAGAGATGGCTATAGCCCCTGACCAGAGTCGAGTGATGGCTCCAGCCCCTGACCAGAGCCCAGAGAGGGCTGCGGTTCCCGCGTCCAGCCCAGGGAGGGCCTCAGATCCCGAGTCAAGCCCAGAGAGGGCCCCTGTTTCCACATCCAGCCCAGAGAAGGCTGCGGTTCCTACGTATGGCAAAGGGAGGGCCACAGATCCAGAGTCTAGCCCAAGGAGGGCTCCTGTTTCCATGTCCAGCCCAGAGAGGGCTGTGGTTCCCACGTATGGCCCAGGGAGAGCCTCTGTTCCTGAGTTCAGCCCTGAGAGGGCTCGTGTCCCCCGAGTCCAACAATCAGCCGTGCAGTCTATGTTTGTCGGGTCTCAAACGTCATGTTTGTGTGTTACAGCCATTCCTAGTGTGGATTACCCCCTTGTTTTGGATTTATTAAAGACTGTTTCTCTTATCGACGTCTCTGTCGTTCTCTCCGACACAGAGTGTGACAGGCAACTAGCTGAAATCAAATAAGCTTAAGTTTTTTTTATATTGTTAGTTAATGTTGATTTTATTTCAGGTAAAGAACAAGTTTTTGCAATGGTTTTAGTTTAATTTAACATTAATAACCCCATATATATCTACAAATTATAGCGTAATATTTTTCACCATACTGTTACTGTTACATGTCACCATACTGACCATTTTTTCCATGTGTTCATTCTCAGTCCGTCTGACGTCGCATCTGACGATTCTCTAACACTGGATGGTCCTTTTGCATCAGACATTGCTGGATCCACATCAGCCGAGGATACTTTTGGCAGCATGGACTTCTATTACCCAGAGCTGGACCTGTGTCAGCGCCGACCGGCCCTCCAGTGCAGCCCCGAGTCCGACGCTTTCAACCCCTGCGAGGACATCGCTGGATTCGGCTTCTTGCGGGTGGCCATTTGGTTCATCAACGTCCTGGCCATCGCCGGCAACCTGACGGTGCTGCTTGTGTTATTCACCAGCCGCTGCAAACTGACTGTCCCCAAATTCCTCATGTGCCACCTGGCCTTCGCTGACCTCTGCATCGGCGTGTATCTGCTTATGATCGCCACTGTGGATCTCAGGACACGAGGGCATTACAGTCAGCACGCTATCGAGTGGCAAACCGGAGCGGGATGCGGGATCGCTGGGTTTCTGTCGGTGTTCGGTGGTGAACTATCCATCTATACGCTGTCTACCATTACCATTGAGCGCTGGCACACGATCACACATGCTCTCCGTCTGGAACGCCGTCTGGGATTGAGGCACGCTTCTTCGATAATGGTCGTCGGATGGGTGGTTTGTCTAGGAATGGCTCTCCTCCCCTTAATGGGTGTCAGCAGCTACAACAAAGTCAGCATGTGTTTGCCGATGGACATCGAGACGCCTTTATCCCAAGCTTATGTTATACTCCTCCTGCTGTTCAATGTTGGAGCTTTCCTGGTGATTTGCGGCTGCTACGTGTGCATTTACACTGCCGTTCGCAACCCCGAGTTCCCCGGACGCGCCGCCGACGCCAAGATCGCCAAACGCATGGCTGTGCTGATCTTCACCGACTTTCTGTGCATGGCGCCTATTTCATTTTTCGCCATCTCTGCGGCCTTCAAAGTCCCGCTAATCACGGTGACCAACTCTAAGATCCTCCTTGTGCTTTTCTACCCCATCAACTCGTGCGCAAACCCTTTCCTCTACGCCATCTTCACCAGGGCCTTCAGAAAAGACGCATACATCCTTCTGAGCTCCATGGGCTGCTGCAAGAGCAAAGCCAACTTGTACCGAATGAAGATGTACTGCTCGGAGAACATCAACCGAAGCAAAAGCAGCTCCGGCTCCAATGCGAATGCCAAAGCTCCTCGCGCTGTTGTGTGGATGTCCAGATTTCCCCATCTGACACCTCGACCGCAGATACAAAGAATCTAAGGAAACAGACATTCAGACTCATTTATTTCCATTATTGTCTTGGCGTTCTGCCCTTGAACTTTGTTCAGTCTTATCTGGGAAGTTGATATGCTTTTCAGAGGACAATGCAACCCATTTTCACTCTTATCTCTCAATGCATTGACTTAGAATTCAGAAGACACTTTTGAGAGAGAATATGGTGCCCAGAAAGGCTATTGTTAGTGAGTAAATGCATCTAAAAGCAGCAAGCCACATCATGTGACAATTTCTACGTCTAGATCTAGATCTTCTAGGTCTTTCTAGATCTTTTTTTTACTGTGAATTGGGAAGCATCAGTCATTTTCAGAAACTCTTTACGTTACAAGAGCATTTTAGCCTTTTGTTGTCTGAATTCAACCTGATTATTGTTTTACATAATTGCTGTAAAAAAATTAATTTGTCAGTTTAAGGTCTTTTAATGTGGAAAAGAGTTTCCTTATTTAAGTTATGTATCTAAGTTATAACTTAACTAGTTGCTATCGCTGATGTTTGAATTTAAGAACATATTCCAGTCTGATTGTCTGAGCTGTTGTTTTATACCATGGAATAGCGCCACTTTGTGGACAAATCTATTGTATTGAAAACATTACAAATGAAGGTCGTTTTTTTATGTAGTACGCTATTTGAAGTATAATAAAATTTAAGCAAAATATTTGTAATCTTTTTATTATGTACTTGAATTCCTAAATTATACAACGTATTTTTGACACTGTCTAGTAGGCAAGTCAGGTATTTATTTATTTATTTATTAATCATTTATTCAATCATTAATTTTCGCTTTTATGGTGCAGCATTTTTTCACGTATTGTTTCATAGTACCTTCACAAATCTTTTTTAGAAAACTTTTTTAGGCCTAAATAATGTCTGAATGAAGGAGTTAGAGGAAAAAGTTAAAATGTCAACAACACTGTCCAATAACACATCGAGTGGAGTTCTTGTGGACAATAAAATGTATTTTTCTACAGTTAGTCATTCAAAATAAAAAGTAGAATATTAATTATAAAATTATTAATTAACAGCCTAGTAAACAAAAACATCATAGGTAATATAATTGCGAGAATTTTTGGAACTTTTTTTTTATTGCAGGTATAAACAAGAACAACTACAGCAATTAAATACAACATTGGATGACAGTATGAATAAAATAAATAATGCAGGAAGACAACAAAGGATATATATATAAAAAAGTAAAACAAACGGTACAGAGGTAGTAACTTAAATTACGTAACATGATTCAACAGCTCATTACACAGTTTCACAAATTTGACACTTTTTTTGTTGTTAATGTTTTTATTAATTAGGTAAAGCCACAAAGAAAATTATGTAATTTGGGTAATGTTGAAGAAAATGTACATTTATGAATATAACATTTTGCCGATAAAATAAATACATTTCCTATATATTCTATGTTATGTTTACGTTTTACAATGAGAAAAATACATATAATTCCCAGACTGCTGATGTGACGTCATGCGTGGGAGCGCGCGTGCAGTGGAGTGAGCTGCGCTCGCATTCCTCAGTGTGTTAAAAGACCCAGAGAAAAGAGCAAAGAAGATGCTATTTGATCTGCACATGCTCTGCTTCGTGCGTTTACTCATCTGACACACTCAGACGAAAGGGAAAAGAAAAGAGAGCGTTATGGGGTTTATCTTAGGCAAAAGTTTCTCAGCGATGTTGCGCCTTTTGACTCTGCTGCTCGTCGGATTGTTTTCACACTCAGTCAGAGTCACTGGTAAGATGTGCGATTTTCTTAAAGTTACTGTGATGTTTTTGTGCATGCTTCGAAAGCAACTGAGTCAACAACCTTAAAAAGTTCATTGTTCAGTTAGTGTTGTTTAAAAGCGTGTACGTGTGATGAGATTTGTGCCGTCTTTAAAGAGATTTTGCTTTGTTTTTGTCATATGGAATCGATTTGTGCGCAGGAGGTGGAATCAAGTTGTCAAAACAAAACTTCTGTTTTCTGCATAGAAAATTTTTATTCAAATTTTTTTTTTTTTTACATTTTAATAGTTTGATTTGTTACTTGTGTACTTGGCAGAACCTACTTAAATATTTAAGCATGCTCTACTAAATATTAATGAGGTGAATTATTTTTTAAGGTTAATAATAATATGACATTACATTTTCAGACATGCAATGTAGATCTCAAGCTGTTTTTTACATTTTAATTGTTTGATTTGTTACTTGTGTACTTGGCGGAACCTAATTAAATATTTAAGCATGCTCTACTAAATATTAATGAGGTGAATTATTTTTTTAAGGTTAATAATAATATGACATTACATTTTCAGACATGCAATGTAGATCTCAAGCTATAGATAGTGATACAATTATTAAAAATGGTTGGAGTTTAATTCACTGACCAATTTAAAGGATTACAGTGCTGTGATAATAATCTGCCCTAGTTTCATAAAGGCTTAGAAACTAAATAGTGCTGGTCTGTGACTATTTAGTTCCTGAAGTCAATGGCTATAAATCATGAGACTTAAGTGAAATTTCACAGTAAATATTCCTAATAGTTTGTTATACAGTACTGTTGCTGACGGATTTGTTGTTAAATACCAAAAAATACAATCTTAATTTTATTAGGCTATATGAATAGGTTTGACTTGATAAATTGACTGATTGTGAGTCAAAAACCACATTAGTGATTTAATATTTACATTTTTTACACTTGTTAAAAATATAAAAATAATTTTATTCCAGACTCTCTTTGATACAATTATGCAAAACTTTGAAAAAAAGTTTATTAAATATTGTTTCATGCTGCATTTTATTTTAGTATGACTATTATGATTTAGAAATCTATATTTACTAAATATAGACTTTTCATGCTGGATGTCCTATTATGTATCTGAAATTTCATCAGTGCTCATTGGTATTGTGAAAACTGGTTTATAAGACTTGGAATTTTCTGTAAAACCTGGAGTGGTTTATAATATCTTCTAATAAAGAAATGAAAGTGGTTAGTGTTAAAATTGAATTACCACTGCAGCGAAACATGTGTTAGTCCCATTCTAGCTCTTGGCTTAATGACAAAATAGATTTCTATGACTAAAGCATTGATGTACACTACAGCAACTGATCATTTAATTGTGCCTAAGACAATATGAGTGTACAAGATCGAGTTCCTTCAATCCAGAGCTCTCTCAATAAAAGCTGCGTATGCTTCCTTTGATAACAGATTCCATCAGAGAAAGAATTTCCTTTTGCTCCTGGAGAACAGGATGCTGGTTTTCCACTGCGTTTCTGAAGCCGTGCCAGACCTGAGTCACTCAATAGAAAATGTCAAAATAACAAGTATTTCCCTTACTGAAAAGTAGTGTGGCCGAACCACGAACAGCATAGCTTGATATAACGTGGTACTCAATGATTACATGTATGTTTACATGGGAATTCAAAAGATGTTTGATGTTACCATGGTACATACTTAGTATAAATACTGTATTATTAATAATACTGGTATTATTATGGTATCATGTTCAGTCCAATGTCAAAGTTTAAAAGTGAAGAGAAGAATAGAACATCCCCTCGCTGTCGTTCACCAGGGAGGTTCGCCTCATTGGGGGAGACAGGGCCGATCTTTCCGGCCAACGCAGGCGACAGACCCGCTGATTGTCCTGGCACGAGCTCCCAGCGTACATCTGTCACAGGAGGAGATCCAGAAGCTGCGCTTCAAACCCACCGTGGGCACAATCCAGCGGTCAGAGGGGGCAGAGGTCAAATTTAACTGCTCCATCGACATCAATGACGTCAACCAGGACCTGAATATTCTGTGGTTTAGGAACGGTAAGGAGATCCCTGAAGGCATGCAGACGGAGGTCTACACTCAAGGGACGGTCACCCTGCTGTCCACTATAAGGTAATTATGACCAATACTGACTAATATCTGTCTGAATATGTTTGGAGATTACTGAACCTGCCCATTTTACAGATTAACAGATGTTCTTGTGTTAGTTTCAGTCTACCAACAGCCTTTTCAATGGATATTTTTTTGTCAATAGAAAGGAAATCTAAAACCCCTGAAAACACACTTTTTTTCTAGAACACTGTATTTAGTAAAAACATTTTTAAATAAAAATAGATTACTACTAATAAAAGTAATATAAAATAACTTTAATACAAATTTTTTATAAAAATTGTAAATACATTAATTAATTAGTTTTCCTCTTTTCACTTATGCTCTTCTACACTAATATTACCAGCTCCCGTGACAGATTTTTTAATTTTTAATGAATTTTTTTTTAATGTAAAGGCAATCTAGTTATCTTTAAAGGCAATAAGTAATCTTTCTTTAATGCAACATGTTTTTGATATATTTCCTTTGACATCATCTTTCAGAATTAAAAGTGTCCAGAGAGCAGATGCTGGAGAATATCACTGCAGGCTTAGTGTCAGTAACAAGATCATTGAGTCAAATCCCATCATTATAGAGGTGGAAGGTAAGTAAGCCTTCAACTCGGTGACACAAACCTTTGGTTATGCATTTTAGACATTTGATGTTTTGCCATATTTTACTCAAATCCAGGCCTGCCGACCTTCACCATACAGCCGAGTGACGTGAACGTCAAGAGAAACACTCCCTTCACACTGACCTGTGAGGCGGTCGGTCCTCCCAACCCTGTGACCATTAAGTGGCTTCACAAAGGCAAGAGATTTGCAGAACGCAACGAGTCTTCCAGCAGCATCACCATTGAAGGTACTAACATGTGGGCTTTAGTTATGCTTCTTGGCGCTGTTTTTGAACTTTGTTCCTTTGTAAGGTGACTCAGAAATGCTCTAGTTTCTTAAAATCTTGTTGTCAGTATAGCAGAGATTCAAAAGGCCTAAAAAAATTAATTGAGAAAGAATTTATCGCCACACAATTTAAGCCAAGTAGTGGAAGATTTTTGTTAGGTTACGGTAATAGATTTGTTGTCCACATGATCATTTTTTAGAGAATTGGAAGTTCTACCACAAGGTTGTACTTTCCCAAGTGCCTGTTGACACTGAATGACCCTTCAGGACACTGTGTTACGGATGAACTGTTCCTCTGGTAAATCAGGACATCCTTATTGCAGGAAAACATTAGTTGGCAAAACTTTGAACAACAGCAAACAATAGAAATCAAACTTTGATTGCGTTCTGAGTGTTGAGTGAAGACTAGCAGGTGTTTGTGGACATTAAAAAGTCATTCAATAGGGTTGTCTTTTCCATTATTAAAGGGGTCATATGATGCGATTAACAAAAATTTTTTTTTATGGTTTTAGTTTTAGTTAACTATAACCACCCTGCTGGTAACGTATGCTGGACCATGCATTTCCATGTGACAGAAAAAGATCTGTTGCAACTTCTGTTAACTCATTAAACTCCACATGTATCTCATCCCATGCTATGCTACCTTAAATTGCATATCTTGTTAAAGAGACATGGCTTGTTATTTTCAGATTGATTTATTATTATTTTAGAATTCCCATTCACTCTTTTGCTTCAGCAAATCCGCCTAGCAACCACCTAAAACACCCTAGCAACCACATTACAATGCCCTTAATCTACCATGTTAAAGCTTGTATCTTCAGAGTCACTTCTGTGTGTTTTTACTGTAAGGACAGTGGGATAAAATCTTCTACTGATGACAAACAGTTGACCCTGTTAATTGATCAGTCAGATTACACTGATTACAATGAGAATCACATGACTGCAGTGCTTCAAACTGTGGATAATTTCCTTTTTTGATCATATCAAGAGGAATAATTAAATCTATTTCAGTTTTGATGAGTCATTTGATTGATGAAAGGGAAATTCACCCAAAATGCATGTTATCAGTTTATTGTAAACCATTCATGCATGTGTTTAAATGTGACATTTTTGGACCTCATCATTTTTAATCAAAATGTCATAACTTTATCTTTTGGTGAAACAAGTTTTTAGTTAAATTTTGTGTGTGTGTGTGTGTTTTTGTCAGTTTTCTAAATATGTCTATAGGCTATAATTTTTTATTCATTTAGTTTTAGTTATTTTAGTACGAAAGTGAGAAATGTTACCTTTTTAAATACATTTTTATGTTATTTTATTTTATTTTATTTTACTTTTCAGTTAACAAAAATTTTTTTTTACGCAGTTTCAGCAAGTGCTTAGATGTTTTTTTGAGGTTAATCTCCTAGGTATGGTAATCGGTTTCTTGGCAACAGGCGTAAACCTGAGTTGTTGTGAAAGCAGGAGTTTTATGGTTAAAGTTTACTCAACCGGTGCTGATATTACACACACAAAAGCCTCATTCAGGGGCCCCGGCATCCCTGCAAAGCCTCGTAAAGAACGGACAGATCAAACTTTAGCTGGCTGGAGCCGAGAGCTCTTTGCAGCACTGTCCGTTCAACAATAATAATCATCTCATCAGGAGCCGTTTTAGTTGTGTACTATATACTGTTGTTTAAGGTCCTTTGAAGATTAAAAAAGTTATTGATGTTGCATTATAGCTTTTTCAGATCAGCCTGTTGGTTCTGTGATCTTTTAAAGAAACTAAAAGTTAAGCACTTTTGAACTCTTCAAAGCACCAGAACGTAGATAGTTTTCTGAAGAACCAAACTACACTGTAAATAATTAGTTTTCGAAGATGTAAAAAACAAACAAAAAAAACATGAAGAATGTTTTACAATAAAATACTAGGCATAAATATTTCTACTTCAAAATTTCACATTTAATTTAATATATTACTTGCTGTTTCTTTGTAATTATTTGTAAAATGTAGCAGTTTCTGAGTGAAAATAGCTTCAGTTTAAATACTTTTTTTTTTCTGGTGTGCATTACTTATATCGCTGTTTTGGTTGGTTGCTAGGGTGTTCTGGGTGATTACTGTTGCATTGCCAGATGGTTGCTATGCTGTTTTTGGTGGTTGCTAGGTTATTGTTAGATTTTTGCCAAACGATGTTGATATTTGAAAGCACCAAAACAAACCTACAAACTTCGCCCCTATTTTGAAATCTCCGCCCCACGCGTACGTATGCAACCATGGCAACGACGATCGTGGAAACAAGTGAAGATGACACACAAGCATATTCAAACAAAAGCCAACACGGATAAGTTGTGTGAAACAACGCAAAGTCAAAATTGAGGCAGCTACCAGCTCCTCATAGGACCCTGGGGTCAGGAGTGTAGCACATACACACGCAGAGAATGTAAACCTTGGTGGCAGCACCATCGTCATATATGTGTATTCTATAGTCTTTGGTTTATTGACAACAGAACAGCGTGTAGTGAGAACGTGGGTACAAAGTAATGGTGACCGGTAGATTATTATTGTGCGTCAGCCTGATCTGTCATCTCTCTCTATCTATAGTCGATCTGCTAATATCTGTCCTGTGCACTCAAATTGAGCGCTCTCTTCTCTCTATCAGTACAAGACACACCCCCTTACTGCTGATTGGCTACAAGTGTGTTTTGAGACTCGGTCAGACACTGCGGTCAAAAGCGTTTTTCAAAAATCGCTTGGTGCATGTTTAAGGAGTGGTGGGCCGGGCCGCCACTACTTAGGCTAATGTACATAGCGAAAACCCTGATTAATCCTCTGTTTACCGATGTCGCCTTTCGTAGAGACAGTGAGGGGGATGAATCGGGTCACTATGAATCTGGGGGGGTCATGTCCCCCCCGTCCCTAGTGCCATCTGCGCGCCTGATTGTTAGGCAATTATGTAAAGAAATAGATAGAAATATTTAAATACATATTTTATCTATATTTAATATAGTTCAAATTAATTGGTATATATTAATTGGTAAATAGTCACTCGAATGGCATATACTGTATATCAAGCATATGTCATTGCTTTACAAAAAAAGTACTGTGGTAATACCATGGTACAGGGATATGAAATGGTACAATGGTGTTTTTATGAATTAAATTTCTTCCCGTGGTATGCATTTCTTGTAGAGTTTAGTAAAGTTTTGTATTTTTCCATTTTTAGCTCCTGAATCAGGGTCCACAGTTGGCTTTAGCAAGAACTTCATGTGGTGTGGCAAATGTGAAGTATTAAGCTTCCGAAATGTGAATCTGAGGAACAAAATCATGGCATTTCTTCATGTTTTTTTGTGATAGGTGCATTTTTACAGACCTGGGATGCTTGTTATTCAAATGCAGTGATAAAGTAGCTATGTTTCCATCCAAAGTTCTGAATTTAACTTGTGTGTGAAATTGGAACATCGCATAAATCATTTGCGAATAAAGCACCGTTTCCATCCAGCAAAACGAAGAGAGCAAAATCCAAACTTCCTGATAAACTGGTGCGAAATATATCTAAGAAAAAGGTCATTTGCAGCAGTAGGAGAAGCCACTGTGGGTCTTTCTTCTAATAAATTACTTGCGCCTCAGGTAAAAAAACACAATAAACGCGGTCATGTTATCTTATAACGGAGTTGCCTGCTGTTTGGGAATGCAGTCGTGTAAGACAGTTCTGGGAGGTAATCATACCGAACCACTTTGACAACAGACTTTGGCTCAGGCATTTCAGAATGACCAAAACAACATTTGGTTAGTCCAGTTATGCCATCCCATTGCTTAAAGTCACATTACTTTTTTGATGCGCATTGAGGAATTTATTCAGTAAATGTGTTTCCATCATAGTTTATGCATATGTTTTCTTATCAGATAAAAAAATGTATCCCCCTCAACTGAGTGCATAAGTATTTAATGCACATTTTTTTAATTTATGCACATCTTGGCGTTTCCAGCCGGCATTTTTTTATGTGATATCCCAAAATGCACATTAAAAATAGGGGGATGGAAGCATTGATTAAATACATTTGTTATAGGACAAAAAAAGAATAACAATAATGCAAAAACAGTTTAATAACTGATAAAATATGTTTTTAAAAAAAAGTCATTTTTGTAATACACCTGAAATTGGCAGTGTAGTTAATTTTGGATGCTGACTACAGAGGTGAGTTATTCACTATCCACCACTGCTCTATATCTACAGTAGTTAAAGATCTGTAAATGCACGTCCAGAGGGCCATTAACAAAGTTTAAAATGGCTTTTATCAGGCTCTGAATCTGATAGCTCATTTAAATTCACTGTTTGAAGATCAATTCAGTTTGAAGATCAGATCAGATATGCCCATTTCTGAGTGGAATAAGTGCATTTTTCACCTTTCGCGTATGTAGGACACAAAAAGGCTCTCTAAGATTGTGGTAAATCCACATTCCACTTCACTTCTCCTTTTAAAGTGCCATTTTCTTACTGAAATTGTTTCAAACAATGTTAACACACAATGCCTCTGATTTTCCATGTTGAACTCGGACTCGCTGTGTCCTGTCGGGCTCACAATGGCTGCATTACATAATACACACACAAACACTTTCTTTCTCTCTCTGGATGCTGTGATGTGTGTTTCCATTAAGAGGGAACTAGTTAGAGCTGGATATGACAGTTTCCCATGTGAGGACTGGCCAGTAATTACTGCTCAAGTTTCAGAAAGAGCACATAAATGCTGAGTTCTGCGAAGCCATTATGACACCACAGCCACTGCGAATGTGCTTAATCATTCAGAGCATATTACTACAGATGCAAGACTCAAAACTGAAATGTAAAATATATAAAAGATGCATCACTCCCTCCTAATAACTATTTTAACTAGCCAACATTTCAGATTCCAAACGGGTCCCTACCTATTCAAAAACTGAAATAAAAATGTTTTGTAGTTGTAAAGGCATTGCTAGGCAGTTCTTGG